CCCATTCTGTATTACCCTCATCCCCCTTGGCACAATCTCCTGAGGTTTTCACTGCCAAGATTCTGCAGACATCAGCCCCTCCCCCCTCTCCCATACGCTGGCTGTTCCTTTGCCCTAGAGCTGAGCAGAGGACATGAGTTACCTGTATCTGGGGACCCCAGGTAAAGTCTCTAGGGTCATGCTCCATCTGTCCTTCTTCTGGGCCTCAACCTCAGTTTCTGCTGCAGTTGAGGAGCAGTCCCCCTTGCCTTCCATAGTGGTAGACAGGCACAAACTGCGTGAATAACCAGGGAATGACTTGAGATTTGAAATCTCCTTCAATTGGGCATCTGCCCACCTTGCCCTACAGATTCTCTCCCAGATTATTTTCCTTTAGAAGAAACTAACTGAATTCTGTCCTCCTTTGCTCCACTCACTGCCCTGTTCTTTTGAGGTCTCTTTCAGAGTTAATTTTAATTAGCGAGCTCCAAACTGACTGGCTGTGCCGGAAGCTGCTGAGCTGTCGGTGAAAATTGAGGGAAGATGTGGAGTAAGTGGAGAAGGCATCATATATGGGGAAATCTGGCTGGGCTTCAAGAGAGGGGGCAGGGGGTGGTGTGGCCACGTTCCAAATGTTGGCCAGAAGCCCACACTCAAAAGAAAAGGGACCCTCAAGATAGTCTAAAAAGCTCCCTGTGGGAAATGACCTCCCAATCCTTTTTCCCAAGATCCAAGGGTTTCACTTGGATCTTCAAAAATCAGAGCGGTCAAGGCATTTTCCCCTCTGGCTCCTCTCAATCATGTTATGTTCTTTCTTTCCCAGCCACTCCCACAGTTCAAGCTTTGGCTACAGCCAGAGAAAGTTCAGAGGCAGGCAGAAGGATTCCAGTGCTGGAGAGGTGGGTGGGGTGAGAAAGTTCTCCTGATGTGTGTATTGTGTGTATTGGGGAAGAAAAGCCCGTCCCTGGAATATATGCTTCAAGCCTGCCAGATGAAGTGGAGGGAAAAGTTAACCCTGGAGTTTGCGTTCTGGAAGGGTTTACTGATAGGCTAGAGACAGTAGCTGGAAAAAGTATAATCTGGGAGAGCTGAAAAAATAGGGATCTCAGATGGCAGGGAAGAAGGCTGTTAGAGTGGGAAGAGGCTGGAAGAAAGCCCCTGTTTCCATTTAGACAAGCAAATCCTTTGCTGTGTCTGGGCATTTATCAATTAAAAAATAGAAATTCTTTTGACATAATTATAGACTCAGAGGAAATTGCAAAAATAGTACAAAAATTCCCGTGTACGCGTCACCCAGCTTCCTCTAATGGTGACATTTTATATAACTAGCACAATATCAAAACCAGGAAGTTGACACTGGTACAATACTGTTAACAAGTTGACAGGCTTTATTCAGTTTTTACCATTTTTTACATTGTGTGTGTGTGTGTGTGTATCCACACACACGTTAAGATTCATATAACCACCACCATGATCAAGAGATGGAACTCTTCCATCCATGAAGGAACTGCCTTGTGCTACCCTTTTCTGTACGTACTCACCCGTGCCTGTCCCCTGGTGTTCACTATTTGTTCTTCATCTGTATAGTTTGTCATTTTGTGAATGTTTTATAAGTGGAATCATAGAATATCAGCACTTTTTAAAAATTTTTTCTTAACATTTTATTGAATTTTGGGTGAAAGTTTACATAACAAATTAGTTCCTATTCAACAATTCATATGCAAATTGTGACATTTCCACCTTGCCTTTCCCATTTCCATTCCTCCAGTTACCCTGCTCCTCCTTGCTTTCTCATCTTTGCTTTTGGGTAAATGTTGCCCTTTTAGTCTCAAATAGTTGATTGTTCGAAGGTGCACAATCCTCACTGGTGCTGTTGTTTATTTGATAGGCCAATCTATTATTTGCCTGAGAAGTGACCTCAGGAAGTGGCTTCAGTTCCAGGTTAAAAGGGAGATATTCTAGGGGGTTCCTCCAGTCTCTTAACAGTTCAGGAAGTCTGGTCTTTTTCATGATTTTGAATTCTGTTCTACATTTTCTCCCATGCTAACCGAGACCTTCTGTTGTGTCCCTGGTCAGTAGTGTAGCCAGACATCATCAAGGTCTTGTGGTCTCAGGGAAGAGGAGGCTGTGATTCGTGTGGGCCTTCAGTCCTGGGGACTAATTACTTCCTAGAGTTTGTGGTTTCCTTCATTCTCCTTTGCTCCATATAGGAAGAGACCAATAATTGCACCTTAGATGCGCTTGCTAGCTTTTAAGACCCCAGTCACTACTCACTACAGAACATTATCTTTGTAAACTACGTTATGCCAATTGAGTTAGCTGTCCTCTGAGACTGTAGTCCTAAGTCCCCAAGCCAAGTTCTTATTACCTCAAGGTGTTTGATTATGGCTAATAAGTTTATGTTTCCTCCATCTTCTGGATCCTTGTGCCTTTTCATTCCTCCCTTCTATGATATTGTTCTCCACCCCACCAGGCTGGTCTCACTTTTCCTTTAGGAAAAATCTACATGTCTATATTTACTGGTCTGGCCTAATGCTCTTGTGTGTTCCCAGTCCTCCCTTCCCCCACTATTTATAGCCAGGCTAATTCTGGGCGACCTCTCTCTCTCTTTTCCTGTTCCTTCCTCCTGTGGCGGGTGAGGGTGACTTCTCAAATATTTGGGCAGAGGAGGTCAGAAGCAGATTCTTGGCATCTAATTTCAGCCTTGGATTTAGCAGGAGCCAGTGGAATGGAGGTGGAGGCAGGCAGTAGCTGCAGGTGCAGACAGGAGGGAAGCTGGGACTTGAATGGCAGATCTGAGCTGGGAGTCAAGGTTCTGTCCTGATGTGGCCTAGTGCCTAAGGCATTTGACTGCTAACCAGAAGGCTGGTGGTTCAAATCCATCAGCCACTCCTCAGAAGGAAGGCTGGGCAATCTACTTGCATAGAGATACTGTCTTGGAAACCGCTGAGTTGGAATCAACTCAGTGGCAGTGAGTTTGGTTTGTTTTTTATTCTCATAACAGATCCTCTCTACTGTCTGGAGCTCTGGGATAGAAAAAGGATTGTTGTTGTTGTTGTTTGCCGTCGAGTCAGACCTGACTCATAGTGATCCCTCCTTGGGTTTCCAAGGCAGTATCACTATGGAAGTAGATTGCCCAACTTTCCTTCCAAGGAGTGGCTGGTGGGTTTGAACCACCAGACTTCTAGTTAGCAGTCAAGTTCCTTAGGCTTCCAGAAAAGGGATAGAGAGGCCATATCTTGGGAATAATAAAAGTAGAGTCCAAGTGGCAACCCTGCTGGCAGCACATGCCCTTCCTTGATAGCACCTGTCCAGAAGTGCACTAGTCCCCTGGAGGGGATGTCCACAGAAGGAGTGTTGCATGGAGACCGAAACTTTCAACTGTGTATTAACTTATCCAAGGCAAAGATTGTCCCAGGGTCAGCATAATGAGAGTCCACCTGCTTTTTTAAAAGTATAATCCTGGAAAAAAGACATAAGGGGGACAGGGGGAACATGGAAAGAGGACTTAAGTAGGATAGCAATTGGAGTTTTTAAGAATGGGAGAGAAAAAAGAGAATCAAAAGATTCTGTTTGAGGGGCAGAGACATTAGAGACATTGAGAAATAGTCTGTGAAAAGATTCCAAGTATGACAGAGACAAGGATTGGGACAAAAAAAGAGTTTCGGATGAGACAAAATCAGATAGTTAGAGAAAGATAGGGAAAATGGACAAATGGATATTCACAAGACAGACACCCAGTAAGAAAAAGAACTAGGAAGGGGAAGTGGGACAAGAGAGGTTCCTGTTATGCTAAATTATTTCCGATCTCTCCTCCTGGCCCCATTTCTGGATTGGAGTTATAAATAGCAGTGAGTTGGAAAATGTTCTCCCGCCCCCCCTTGCTTCTGTCCAGTCTTATGGAGAAGGGAGAGGAAGAGGGACAGGCTGGAGAGTCCCACCCAGATGGAACCTGAGCCAACTCAGCACTCTAGGCTCTTTTAGTCCACTCCCCTTTGACGGGTGGGAAATGTATAGTCCTGGGAAGGGTCCTCCCAGTCTCTGATGAATCCTGGGCAGATGGTTAAGCAGTGGCCTACTGGCTGAGAGGTTGGCAGTGCAGACCCACCCAGAGGTGCCCAGGGAGACAGACCTGGTGATGTGCTTCTGAAAGGTCACAGTCTGAAAACCCTGTGGAGTAGTTCTACTCTGCACACATGGGGTAGCCACGAATCCCCACAACTGACAACAGTGGGAAGGGGTCTGGGAACTGGAAACACCCTTTCCATCCTCCTCCTTCTTAGGGCCAGTCTCTTTCGTCTTTGCCCTTCTTCAACACCCGCGCTTAATTTCCTCTTCATGTATCACGCCGTCTTTTCCTTGATTTCTCCCTTGACTCTATCCCTTGTTGACCAAACCCTTTCCCTTCTTTGCCATCCGTCTCTTCCCGTTTTCTTTTCTTTCTACCTGTCTTCTTTGCTCCCTTCCCCATACCTCTTGAGTTCTTATTCTGCTTGTCTTGTGTTTTTCTCTGTTTCCCTGAAGCCTGCTGTTGTGGTTGTTAGTTCTTTGTCACTGCCGGGCTCTGGGTGGTTGGCTGCGCTGGGGTGGACAGTGGTGTGATTTGAACAGCATAAAGGGTGCTCTACGTGACCGTGAGTAGGAGGGAGAACCCAGACGCAGAACCACTCCCTTTTCCCCTCCTCTCTTTCCAGGCTGCCCTTTAGTTTTTTCTTATTTTTCATCACTTATCCTCTTTCTCGGTCCCTGTCTTTCTTTCTGTTCTTCTCTTTCTCCCTCCCCATTCCTGGTCGCCGCCTCGCTTGCTTAGGCCAGGCGAGGCGAGGGGAGGGATGGGCAGCGTGGGGTCGGGGCCGGGGCTGGGGTGCGGCTACTGCGGGAGCAAGGCCAGTTCTCGCCCTGGGCCCGCAGCCTAGGTAGCCTTTGGCGACGCTCGGGCCTCCACCTGCCGCGTGAGCGAGGGGGCGGGGCGGGGGCGGGGCCGGGGCGGCACCGCAAGGCGAAGAGGCGGGAGCCTGAGTGGACGCCGGGCTGCTGAAGCCGAGGTCGCGGGTGCTGGCTGGCCGGGCGGCGGGTGAGCGGTGGTCAGGCGAAAGACTGGGAGACCTCTGAAAGAGTAGCGAGATTTCCGAGGCCAGAGACGGGCCGGGGAGACTTGGAGCTCACGCCGTGCAGGAATTGCCCAGCGCTTGCGGGGCACGCGCGCTGGCTTCGCCCCATGGCCGGGATTCGCGGCCGCGATCCCTGGGGGGCCTCTGGGCTTTGCTACCTTCTTGGCTGCCTGCTTGCGGGACTGTTCTGCCCGGGGACTGTTGCCTTCAATCTGGACGTGATGGGCGCCCTGCGCAAGGAGGGTGAACCGGGCAGTCTCTTCGGCTTCTCTGTGGCCCTGCACCGGCAGTTGCAGCCCCGACCCCGGAGCTGGTGAGTCATCACACCCGCCCGGAGTCCTCATGCCCGAGCTATAGATTTCCCTCTTCAACCCCAGGCCACCTCATCTCTCAGTCTTCCAGGCCAACCGATTCATGCTGCCCACAGATACCTTACATCCAACCTGCAGCTTTGCCTCATCCCTAGGCCCAAGACCCAAGGTCTTGCATTGGGGACGGGTTGGAGAGCAAGGTTCTTGTCTTGGCGGGAAACTCTCTCCTGCCTTTCCTCCCACCTTGCATCCTTGCTACAGTGTCAGGGTCTCTGGCTCCCCTCCTTCCTCAGAAGACTGAATTCTTTAGGAAGGAAGACTGACCATTTTGTGTCTGCTTAGGCTGGAAGAGAGGGCAAGGGTGGAGAGGTTGATGGTGCCAAGGGAGAGATGAAGGGTAATCTCCAGAAACAACTTCCTACCAAAGCACTGCCATGGGATGGAATGAGAGCAGTAGGGCACTGGAAAACAAGGAGAGATCTGCCACTTCTGTGGCTTAAAGCAAGGCTGCAAGAAGGATGGGAGAGGACCTGAGAGGGTCTGGCAACCTGCACTAGGTGGCTTGGTGATAGAGAGTGGCAGGAGAAAGAATCCCCCAAACTAATAGCAGCAGCAGCTGGGAGAGAGATCCAGGAAGGATGCTGGCCAGGCTGTTCCCTTTCCTCCTCCTCAGGAAATTTCCAGCTCCAGGAATCTCAGCAATGGGGGAAGGCAGGGAGCAACAGACAATTCTAGTTCTTTTCTCATCAATTTAGGACCCATGGGAAATGAACACACTTGTGTGTGGGGCCACTGGCTGGTCAGGCTTTTTGTGTCCCTGGTTCTAGCTACATGTACAAGTTGAAAAAGAGAGACAAGAAGGAAGAAAGCCTCCCTCCTCCTCTAGCCAGGGGGCTTTTTTCTCCACAGCCAGTGCCTAAGCCACATTAAGTGTCCATTACTGGGATCAATGCTGTCCACTGGGACTGTCTTCTCCCCCTACTATGGGCCTAGGGGCAGAGGGCAGGGGCATGAGCTCATCCCTGCCCCCCCACCCCCTTGCTTAGGAAGAGGAGATAACTTTGATCATCTAGGAGCAGGGTCAGTGATCCCAAAAACTTTGGGAGAGAAAGAAAGCCACTGATTTCACCTCTTCCTCAGCCTTCCACGAGCTGCTTCTTCCCTCATCTCAGTCTCCCTCCCTCCTTTCTTCCCTGCCCCATCTGCCAGAGCTTTAGGACTGGAGGCCTTTTTAGGACATGCTGAACTCTCTGAGCTATTTCCAGTCAAATTCTAGGTTATTTTTAATAACTTGATCTCTTGTCATTTCCCCCTCCTCTCTGAAAATGGCCCCCGATTCTGTCTTCCAGAGCCAAGCTGGGGGCATTCCCAGAGGGGCCCGACTGCCTGACTCTGCTTTGTCTCCAGCAGGGGGCGCTCTGCTGCCTGGGGGCATGGGAGAGGTTAGGTACTTTATTCAGTCTGTAGCATTTGAGTTCCCTAGCCATTGATTGAAAGACTTTCTCACTTGTTTTGAGGCCTCTCATTCTGGCCCCTGGATGAGACTTTGAGGTCTCACATTCTTACTTTGTGCTGTGGTTTCAGTCTCATTTATCTCCTTCAAGTGTGGATGCAGATAAATAATTGTTCTACTGTATAGGGTTACTGTGGGGATTAAAAGAATTCATAATACATGTAAAAATGAGCCTGTGTAGTGCAAGTGGTTTGTGATTGGTGCTGACCCAAAGGTTGGTGGTTTGAACCCATCCAGAGGTTCCATGTAGAAAGGCCTGGTGATGCATCCGTAATGCTTACAACCAAGAAAACCCTATGGAGCAGTTGTACTCTGTAACACACGAGATCACCATGAGTCCAGTTGACTCAATGGCAGCGAACAACAACATATGTAAAATGCTCAGAATAGTGCATGGCCATAGTAAGTGCCATGAAGTGTTGGTAGTACTATTCTTCTTCAGTGATCCACAGAATTAGAGAATAGCTTTCTCACCTTACAGCGATCTTGGATCCAAAGTCTTGGCTACAGCACCCTCCTCAGAGGGCCACCCAGACTGAGAGAGTTTAGAGAGAGGCTGGACTTGGGCAGGAGCCCTGGAATGTGTGGAGAATTGAAAGGTACAGTCGTAGAGGCCTGCTCCTCAGCCTCCACTTAGCTGGGCTCCCAGGGATCCCTCTGACCCAGCTGCCAACAGTTTTTTCCTTTTCTCTCTGCAGTAGCTACAGCTGTGGCTTCTCACCTGTCCAGAGCCCTGGGGTGGCTGGGCTCATAGGATGAAGCCAGGAAGGAGTGTGTGGCTGGGGTAGAGGTGGAGGGACTGGAGAGGCTGCTTGTGGGAACTGTTGTTCCTGGGGGATGAGCCTGTGTGTTCTTCACAAAGAGTAGGGCTGGGCATATCTGTACATTCGGTGGCTTCTTTACTCCATATTGACCCTTCCCCTCCTCCATACTCATGACCTCCAGGAGAGATGTGACCATTGAACACCGACTGATAGCTTCTTTGGGTGCTCAGGTCTATGCTGGCCAGCTGAGACTCTGGGTGTCTCTGTGAGTCCCCATGAAGTGGGGTTCAGTAATTTCTGATTCTCTGATTTCTCTGATGAGGCAAGCACAAAGATAAACAACACAGCCCTGGTCTTCCAAGAGATGGCCATCTTTGTGTTTGGAGGGATGGGGCACTGGTGACTTGTCTGAAGGTTGGCATTTGTTTGCACAGGGCTATGTCTCCCGGCTTCATTTTCTGCTCAGGGAGCCTGGTTGGTCTCTTTCTCCCCTGCTTCCCCTTCCTTCCTGGAGGGTCTCAGTGTTCTGGAGACTGGCTGGCTGGTCACTAGGTGTAGTGGAGCAGGCGTATTGGGGTGGGGCAGATGTGGATTTGAATTCCATCACTTCTGCTTTATTAATGTTTCTGAGTGAGTTCCCTCATCTGTAAGACAAGGCAGGACTCCTGATCTCACAGCATTCATTGTTGGGAAGAGTTAGTCACATAATGCCTATACCTTGCCTAGCTTGGTGACTGGCACATATATGTAGTGATAAATCTTAGCTCCTGCCATGTAGTCTAGTAGGTGCTGAATAAGTATTACACCATTGTTTCTCTAGTATCTGACACAGGGCTTGGCATATGTTTCTTTCCAGTTGCTACTGAGTCAGTTATGACTCATGATGACACCATGTGTGTCAGAGCAGAACTGGTTTCCAATTACCGACTTTTTCGGAAGTAGATTGCAGGCCTTTCTTCTGTGGGCCTCTGGATAGACTTGAACCTCCATCCTTTGGGTTATCAGCCTACCACATTAACCATTTGTGACACCCAGGGCATATGTTCTTCATAAAGAGTTGTTAAAAAAGTGCTGAATGTATGTTCTCTTTCCTACCACTTCCCACCCCCTTCTCTCTCTTGACACTGGCTCTGACATGGGGTGACAGCTGCTCAGAGACAGGAGGAGTTTCAGGAAGGCCGAATGGCTCTGTGCCCTCCCTCTCCCCATGCCACCAGGACTGGCACAGTGCCCCACAGATGCCTGCTGTAATAGTGCCCACTACAGCTTTGAGCATCTCCATAGGAAGGGAGATGGAGGAAAGGAGTGTGGGAGAGAGGCTTCAAGATTTTCCCTGCTGCCACTTTTGAGTCTTTGCTGCCAGTAGCCAGTGGAGTGTCAATCACCTCACCTCACCCCCCTCCTCACTCCTGGCCTGGGGATTCAGCCCCAGGGGACCCAGGCAGCCTCCATTCCCAGCACAATCCTCCCCCAGGGAAGAGGCATTGGCTGTGATCATGGAAAATTGTCCTGCCAAGAAAGTTGTAGCTGGGAAAGAGTCTGAGGGGGAGGTCGGAGAGAAGACTGGGCAGGGGTGGGCGGTGGGGGGAAGGGTAGATAGTAGATTTGGGGAGGAGAAGGAAGAAGAGTGGGGAAGGGGATTCAGGATGTGGGGGGTGGGGAGAATGGGGCAGGACTGGAGACAGGTTGAGAAACTTGTCCCTACTTCCACTCCAGCCAGAGTGACTGATAGAATCCAGTGACAGAGCTACCAAGGAGTGGGGTCTTTGCCCAGTCCCTGATTAAGCAAAGCAGACCCACGTCTAGCCTCTTTAGAGGCCTCAGAAGCTGGTCCCTGGGCCACCTTGTGGTGCCAGTCTGGGCCCTATTACTTTAACTCTCAACATTCTTGGCATTTCTGGCAGGGTTTCAATTGGACTGGGGTTGGGGAGGAGGTCAGGGTTTGGGAATGGGGCCAAGGAGGGGGTAAGGAAGGCCTAGTCAGGAACAGGTGCTGGGAACAGGCGGTTCTTTCAAACCAGCGTGCTGGCCAGGCTGCTTGGGTCTACACACATACGTGTGTTATCTATTATGCGTGTTGGTTCCTCATCCAGATGGTATGTGCCTATGAAACATGGGGTTTGCATGGCCAAGTGTGTGAATTTGCCCTTGTCCAGGACTTGGGAAAACTGATTCTTGGCCTTTCTCCTTAATCCTTGAACACCCTGCTTGGTACTGAGGGGTTGGACCTGGGCAGCTCTACAGAGGTCGGAGCACTTGGCCTCTAACTCTTGACCCTCCACCATTGTGCAGGCTGCTGGTGGGTGCTCCTCAGGCCCTGGCTTTGCCTGGGCAACGTGCGAATCGTACTGGAGGTCTCTTTGCCTGCCCCCTGAGCCTGGAGGAGACTGACTGCTACAGAGTGGACATCGACCAGGGAGGTGGGGGCCCTACGGGGGTGGAGTGGGAAAGCTCCTGAGGAGGGAAGGAGAAGACTTTGCCTCCTCTTCCCTCCCCTAATTCCTAGTGTCCTGCCTCCAGTTGATGTGCAAAAGGAGAGTAAGGAGAACCAGTGGTTGGGAGTCAGTGTTCGGAGCCAGGGGCCTGGGGGCAAGATTGTTGTGAGTATCTTCTTGTGATTGTAATCGAGGGTGGTGTGTGTATGTATTTGCATGTGTTGTGTGTTTGAGTGTGTGTGTGTATGGTGTGTGCATATGCACAACTGTGCTTACAGAACACAGTTTGGGTATGTGGGAAGATCCCTAGGACCTCAGAAGATACAAACATGTATAAGACATGGTCCCTGGTCTTATAAATAAAAAAAAACAACAAAAAAAACAAATTTCTATCCATTTAGCCACCCATTTGTGAAACTCTTATTGAGTACCTTTTAAGTGTCAGGCATCGTGCTAGTTATTGAAAGAGGATATAGAAAGACAGGAAGACACTTGATCCCTGCCTCAAATAGCCCACAGCATAGTTATGGAGATTCTCATTCTTTCTTTATCTGTGTCTCTGTCTCTATATCTTTCACAAATATGGATGAACACATAATTAACCATACAAGTCACTCTGGGACAGAATTTGGTTAATGTTAATAACTCGTTTTATAGTCATCAGTCTATAAAAGTCCAAAAGAAGAGTGCAGAGGAAAGGCTCCTGCAGGTGAGCTGAGCCAGGCTTTGAGAATAGGCAATGCTTGGAGAGTGGAGAGGGGAGGACATTCATTGCAGGCTAGGTGGTGACATTCACAAAGGTCCAGAAGCAGGGCCAGGCCTGAGATGTTGGGACACAGGCACATGTGGCATGATTAGGAAGGCATGCATTTTGTGTGCTGGTTCGTTGTGTGTGTGGGTGCCCTGGCAGAACACAGAAGAAGGACTTCTTTGGGAGAGGGCCAAGGAGGTGGGTGGAGATGATAGTGGGTTGTACAATTACTTGCCCAACACCGGGCTAGATGGTGGTGCTCCAGCAATGCCAGCATAGGTGTGTGTGTGTGTGTGTGTGTGTGTGGGCACATGTGTGCATATGGGCAATGTGACTTAAGCAGAACCCTGTTCCACAAGGATGAATGGCTCCTCATTCTTTCCTCCCTCAGACCTGTGCACATCGATATGAGGCACGGCAGCGGGTGGACCAGATCCTGGAGACACGTGATGTGATCGGCCGCTGCTTTGTGCTCAGCCAGGACCTGGCCATCCGTGATGAGCTGGATGGTGGGGAGTGGAAGTTCTGTGAGGGGCGTCCCCAGGGCCACGAACAATTTGGGTTCTGCCAGCAGGGCACGGCTGCCGCCTTCTCCCCTGACAGCCATTACCTCCTCTTTGGGGCCCCGGGAACTTATAACTGGAAGGGTGAGTCACTCCCCAGGGAGGGGAAGAGGGAACCCAAATCTCCTCTTGCTCCAGAGACAGGATTGGAGTAGCACGTGGCCAAGCATGACCACATGTCCACTGCCACTGAACCCTTGGGCACTGCTTTGCCTTCCACCCCCATCACACGCACATTCGTGAATGGGAGTGCCTCCTTTTCTTCGCATGGTCCCGTGTTCCTCAAAACACTGGCATGAGCCCCCCACCTGCACGGCTGGGCTGCCCTCCCAGCTGTACCTGCATGCTCCAGCTCACAGCCCGCCCCTCATCACTCCCATTCCTGTCTCTGCACACGCCGCTGGCTGAGCTGACACTCGGTGAGTGTGGTGCCAAGTCTGAGGGCCCCCAGAAAGCTTGGGTTGGGCAGGAGGTGGGAGGTGGGGCTGTACGGGAGGGGGCGAGCTTCCCAGATGCTTGTCTAACTCAGTATCTGGCCTGAGGGTGCTCCTTGCTCCCTGCCCTGGATACTAACAGGACTGTCCTTGCAGGCACGGCCAGGGTGGAGCTCTGTTCGCAGGGCTCAGTGGACCTGGCACATCTGGACGACGGGCCCTACGAGGCGGGGGGCGAGAAGGAGCAGGACCCCCACCTCATCCCGGTCCCTGCCAACAGCTACTTTGGTAGGGACCTCTCCCTGGCCCAGAGCCACTCTAACCCTCTGTTCCTCTCTCTTGTTTTCCCTTTCCATGCTCCCATCCTCCTGTGTCTCTCTCTCTCTTTCTCACCTCTCGCTCTCTGTCTCCCTGTCTCTGATTCTGTTTCTTATCTCTATGGTCTCTTGGTCTCTCATTTCCTTCCCTATCTCTTCCTCTTCCACCTTCTTCTTCTGACTTTTCTGTTTGGCTCTGTCTCCCCACTCTGTGGCTCCTCTTCTGGATGTCCTTTCCCTGGTGTCTCCTTCCCCCATTCCCCACAGGGTTGCTCTTTGTGACCAACATTGATAGCTCAGACCCTGACCAGCTGGTGTATAAAACTTTGGACCCTGCTGACCGGCTCCCAGGACCAGTCGGAGACTTGGCCCTGAATAGCTACTTAGGTTTGTAAGCTCCCACTTATGTCCTCCTGGGCCCTGGGGGCCTGGCCCTGGCCTTCCCTCCTCCCCCAGGGAACATGTCCTCCTTTCACCCCTCAAACACAGCCAGGGAAAAGCTTGGCCTCAGCGGTCAGGTCTGAGAAGATCAGTCCTGAGGGTAATGGTCTCGGGGACTATGAACCGGAGGAAGACCCAGGTGGAGGGAGAGAGAGTACTGAGACTGTACTAGGAGGGAAGAAGGTTAGACCTCCAGAGGAACTTCCTCTGAGGGATAGTGATGGGCACATGCTGCAGAAAAGCTAGCCTTGTTGGTAAGTTCTTTCTTTTTTATTTTTTTCTTGTTGGTAAGTTCTTACTGTCTCAGTTTTTCATATACATCCCTTCATCCCTTCTGCAGAGGAGGAGGAAATGAGGCCTGGGAGATGTTTGGGTGAATCATACTCTTCCCTCCCTCCCATATGTCCCTATTCCCCCCACCATGTGAAGGCTTCTGGCTCCCTGCCAGGATGCTGTGGGTAGGAGCAGAGAGAGTGCATTGGGTGGGATTAGGGGTCTTCAGGGTGTGTGGAGATGGGGGAGGACCAACCTCTCTGCTCTAGTTCCCAGAGATGAGTGTGGTGAGGTCTCTGCCCCAGCTCCTGCCATTGTGGCCAACCTCCTGCCCAGCCATCTTGCCTCTTCAACATTGGCTTTCTCTCTCCTCTCAGTCCCTGGGTGGATTTGTTGCACTTCTTGTGTCAAACTCCAGTTTGACAGGCGGGTGTGGGAAAGCTGCTGGGTCTCAGGAGGGGCAGACAGAGTGGTCCAGCTATGGTGGTGATAGCTTGGGTGATACCCTCTCCACCTTTTGGCTCCTGAGCTGCCAGGCAGTGGGCTGAGGTTGGGGTTGCTGGGATACACCTTGGCTTCTGAGTCTGTCAGGAAGTACTTACCACAAAGTCATCCCCCACCCAGGTTTCTCCATCGACTCAGGGAAGGGGCTGGTGCGTGCAGAGGAGCTGAGCTTTGTGGCAGGGGCACCCCGCGCCAACCACAAGGGTGCTGTGGTCATTCTGCGTAAGGACAGTGCCAGCCGCCTGGTACCTGAAGTCGTATTGTCTGGGGAGCGCCTGACATCTGGCTTTGGCTATTCACTGGCTGTGGCCGATCTTAATAATGATGGGTGAGAGTGGGTGGGTGTGTGGGAGCCTGTGGGAGGTTGGGCCCAGGAGGTCTGAGGGGTCTTTGGCATCTCCTCTGACTTCTCCGGCCAGATCCCACACTGACAATCTCTCTCCATAGCTTTCCAGACCTGGTAGTGGGAGCCCCCTACTTCTTTGAGCGTCAAGAAGAGCTGGGTGGTGCTGTGTATGTGTACATGAACCAGGGGGGTCACTGGGCTGATGTCTCCCCACTCCGGCTCTGTGGCTCGCCTGACTCCATGTTTGGGATCAGCGTGGCTGTCTTGGGGGACCTCAACCAAGATGGCTTCCCAGGTGTGACTGAAAACTGGAAATGCTTAGTGGAAGGAGTGGGTAGGGAAGGATGGGGAGTGACTCAGAGGTCAGGGGACAGTCTTCTGAGGGCTCAGGGAGAGAAGGAACCTATGCTTACATCTGAGCTTTGCCATTAACTAGCTGTGTGGCCTTGAACAAGTTACTTCACCTTTCTGAGCTGATAATGTCCAGAGAGAGTGGCTGAGAGGATTAAAGACAATGTATACAGGGTGCAAGTTCCTGTTTCATGCAGTTTGTGCTTGGCTGCTATTCTAAAGGTTGGTGGTTCAAACCCACCCAGTGGCACTGTGGAAGAAAGGGCTGGCAATCTACTTCTGTAAATATTACCATAAAGAAAACCCCACTCTGTAACACATGGGTTGCCATGAGTTGTAATTCACTTGAAGGCAATGGATTTTTCTTTTTTTAATATGTAAAGTGCTTGAGACTTAGTTGTTGTGTGCCTTGAGTCATTTCTGACTTGTAGCCTCTGAATAAAATAGAAAACATGTAGGACTGAAGAAAAGTTGGGGCCTGGTTCTTGTCACCCCCACCCCTAGACTGATTGCTTTTTCCCATACCCCAGATATCGCTGTGGGCGCTCCCTTTGATGGAGATGGGAAAGTCTTTATCTACCATGGGAGCAGCCTGGGAGTTGTCCTTACACCTTCACAGGTGAGGGGAGCGTCATTTGGATGAGGGAATCCATGTGTGTGGGACAAGGGGGCATAGTAGCAGAGGGCAGGGTAGACAGAGGACTGGGGGCAATGGGGTTGGGGAGGCTGACGGTCTGGTCTGCCAGGTGCTGGAGGGCGAGGCTGTGGGCATCAAGAGCTTCGGCTACTCTCTGTCTGGCGGCCTGGATGTGGACGAGAACCATTACCCCGACCTGCTGGTGGGCTCCCTGGCTGACACTGCTGCCCTCTTTAGGTGATCTCCTCCCCCTCCTCTCCCTCCTCCCTCCCTGAGGCCCTTACACCCTCTCTGTGACTCTGACCTCCACTGCAGTGATGCTGAAGACTCCTCCTAGCCCCCTTCTTCCCCAGCCTCTTGTTTTAATGTTTCCCATGCCCCTCATCCCCCCGTCTTCCCAGGGCCAGACCTGTTCTCCATGTCTCCCATGAGGTCTTCATTGTTCCTCGAGCCATCGACCTAGAACAGCCCAATTGTCCTGGTGGCCACTCAGTCTGGTGAGGTGGGGTCTGAGGTGAGGGCAGGGGAACTCTCCAGGGCCCAGTTTCTTCCCATTCTCCCCTTCCCTCTCCAGTTTAGGGTTTGGGCTGTGGCAGGCATGGGCAAGTGGAGGTTTGAGGTCTTGGGCTAGTCTGGCTCAGGAGCCACCATTTGCCCCCACAGTGTGGACCTAAAGGTATGTTTCAGCTACATCGCATCCCCCAGCAGCTACAGCCCTATTGTGGGTGAGTGAGGTCCCCCTCCTACCCCACTGGGTTTTCAGGGTGGGTCACTTGAAAACGGGGGGAAGGGCACCCTGGGGACAAGGCCAGACTGGAGCACTTTCCCAGCTCACTGGCTTCCCCCTTCTCCCCACACACTATAGCCCTGGATTACATGATAGATGGAGACACAGACCGGAGGCTCCGGGGCCAGGTCCCCCGGGTGACCTTTCTGAGTCGTGGTCTGGATGACCACAAACACCAGGCCTCAGGCACTGTGTGGCTGAAGCACCAGCATGACCGAGTCTGTGGAGATACCATGTTCCAGCTACAGGTAGACACTGACCCCTTGAGGGTCATTGCCATTTCATGATCTGTTTTCCTTGATTCCTCTTAGTTTCTTTTTCTACCACATACTCACACCTCATTCTAAGATCTAGACTTTTGAGAAGTTCCCTTAGGCGCTTACCTCTTCCTTACTTATTACCTTTTTGCATCTCCTCTCGAGTACATTACTCCCTGGAGATGGAGATGGCAGGTTCCATTGCCAAATTTGATCCTCAAAATGTTAGTTCCTGGGTCTCTTCCTTTCTCCACCCAGTCTTTCTCTGTCCTCTATGTGCAGTTCTTCACCTCTTTGTTTCTTTCCAAGTGTCAGAATCTATCCGAGATCTGCCTGGGTCTTTGGGTGGGGCTGGGGCCTGGGGATTGTTCCAGTTTCCATGTCCATTTTCCCTTTCCCAGGAGAATGTTAAAGACAAGCTTCGGGCCATTGTGGTGACTCTATCCTACAGTCTCCAGACCCCTCGGCTTCGGCGACAGGCTCCTGGCCAAGGGTTGCCTCCAGTGGCCCCCATCCTCAATGCTCATCAGCCTAGTACCCAACGGGCAGAGGTGAGGATGGGTTCTGGTTTGGCCCAGGAAGAGGAGCTGGCAGGGCTGATGATCATGGTTCCTTACCAATGATTCTCATTTATAGATTTCAAAGCTCTTTTGCATATTTTATCCAATAGCACCTCATATTTGCAGTAGACCCAAAGTGAAAATGGTTCAAATGACCAGTGTTCCTGGGCAGAGGGGATAGTGCTCCTCCATTCTTCATTTGATGGGGGCTCTGCCATTTTCAAATGTGGCCTCCCAGGTCCTTAAATTGTCTCCATCCCAGGGAGGAGTGTGAAAGTCTTTGCACGATTCTCATGCCGACCTGGAGGTGGTGCGCCTCATTTCTCAGCTAAGCACTAATCTAATCCCTCTGCAGCTCTTCACATTCTAATCTCTGGAATTCAGTCACATGGCCACACCAATGCCAGTTGTTGTTGTGTGCTATCAAGTGGATTCTGACTCATAGAGACCCTATAGGACAGAGTAGAGCTGCCCCACAGAGTTTTCTAGGCTGTAATCTTTATGGGAGCAGAGCTCCAGGTCTTCCTTCCCCCCTGCAGAGCAGCTGGTGGGTTTGCAGCCAAATGCTTAACCATTGCACCACCAGGCTTGTTACCCATGCCAGAGAGGGTAGGAAAATATGATTTAGCTGTGGGCTAGCCTGCTAAACTCTGCCATGGAGTGGTAATATTCCCATCATTTTACTGATGAGGACACAGCTCAGAGAGGTTAAATGAATAGCCCAGTATCACACAGCTAGTAAGTGGCACATCTGAGAGTTGAACACAGGTCGTTTAATCCTGTTTCACTCCACCCTACTGTATGCCTTCCTGGGAATGTTCCTCTCCTCAAATCTCTCCCCAGATCCACTTCTTGAAGCAAGGCTGTGGTGAAGACAAGATCTGCCAGAGCAACCTGCAGCTGGTCCATGCCCGTTTCTGTGCCCGGGTCAGCGACATGGAGTTCCAGCCTCTGCCCATGTGAGGGGGTAGGGAGAACAGGTGGGGTGGGAGGGCATGAGTTCAAGGAATGGAAGGGAACCCCCTCAGGAGGACCAGCCAGAGAGGGCTAAAAGCTCAGTGGGGACTGCTGATAATTCAGACAGTGGCAGGATGAGGGTCGGTTAAAGAGCCACAGGGGCTCCCCTAGTGAGCAATGACAATTTTTCACAATACATATGATAGCATAGAGATTACACACATCACGTTGCTTAGTCTTCACAATCCTGAGGTAGGAAATATTATTAATTCCACTCTGTAGATAGAGAACTGAGACCTAGAGAGGTTGATAATTGCCTGTGTAGAGCTTGGAGGAGAACAGAGATCCCCTGACTCTCAGGCTGGTTCTCTTGAGTATGGAAAGATCTCAGGCTTAGACTGGAGATTTGGGGTGGTCAGGGAGTAGAGGCAGGGTGGCATACACTGGAGAAAGGAGGCTTGGAGTGGGAGAGGCTGAAGAAGGTGTTCAGATCTTAGAATGAGTGGGCTCTGATCCCCAGGGATGCAGATGGAATGACAGCCCTGTTTGCACTGAGTGGGCAGCCTGTCATCGGCCTGGAGCTGAAGGTCACCAACCTGCCCTCGGACCCAGCCCAGCCCCAGGCTGATGGGGATGATGCCCATGAGGCCCAACTCCTCGTCACCCTCCCTCACTCTCTGCATTACTCAGGAGTCCGGGCCCTGGATGCTGCTGTAAGGACCCGGGGCAGGGTGGGGTAGGGTGAGGTCTTAGGGGGCTTCAGTAGTTCAAATTGACCTCTCATCTCTTCCTGCTCCAGGAGAAGCCACTCTGCGTGTCCAATGAGAATGCCTCCCATGTCGAGTGTGAGCTGGGGAACCCCATGAAGAGAGGTGCCCAGGTTGGCATGTCTTCCTTTTGCCCATCTGGTGACTTTCTAACCCCTGACTCCTTCTTTAAGCTCCCAGCCCCCCTCTCATGCCATTCCATCCCATCCTTGGTTTAGGTCACCTTCTACCTCATCCTTAGCACTTCAGGGATCACCATTGAGACCACAGAGCTGGAGGTGGAGCTGCTGTTGGCCACGTAAGCCTGGTGGGGCCAGGGTGGGGTATGGGTAGGACAATAAGATTGGTGTCCACCTGGAGGGGATGGATGGTGCTTGTACCCACTGCCCATGCCTACTCCTGCCCTCATGCCAGGATCAGTGAGCAGGAGTTTCATCCAGTCTCTGCTCGGGCCCGGGTCTTCATTGAGCTTCCGCTGTCCATTGCTGGGTAAGCCCTGCTCAGCTGGGCACCCCCACTGGAAGGGAGGATGGGCATCACCACTCCTAAGCGCTGGCCCAGTCTCGGCCTTTCCTGATTTTAGCCTTGGGCCCTCCATTCAGCCAGGCCTCAGGCCTCCTTAGCTCCTCTTTTGACCCTCTCACGCCAGGGTGGCCATCCCCCAGCAGCTCTTCTTCTCCGGTGTGGTGAGAGGAGAGAGTGCCATGCGATCTGAGGTGGATGTGGGCAGCAAGGTCAAGTATGAGGTCACGGTAAGTATCCTGGCATGTGACCCCTCCATGGTTGCTTTCCCTTTGGTACAGAGGAGAGGCTAGGACATGTTTCATATGGCAACTTGATGGTCCAGTGCATTCATGGCTTCTACCCACCACCTCGACCTTGGCTGTGGTCAGTGCTGGGCCTCGACTGACCATTTTCTGGTCAGCCTTGACTGTCCTTCTTACCCTGCTACTCTGGAAAGGCCATGGGAGCTCAGGGAATCTTCTCTGCTGGGGGCCTTAGCTGGGGAATGGAAACATGAAGGGAGGATTGATGTCTGTTCCCACAACTCTGCCCTTGTTTGCCTCCCAATGACACCTCCAGGTTTTCCTAGATTTGGTGAGAGGATGGTGCCTGGTGGGGTCCAGAATCCTGAGTCTTTGTTGAAACTGTGCCTTCTGAAGTTTTCCCTTCAGTCCTTGTTTCCCATCTCTGTGAACTGAGAGCCCTTTTGGGAGCTGAACTCCTGGCCTTTACACTCTTATGTCCACAGGTCTCCAACCAAGGCCAGTCACTCAACACTCTGGGCTCTGCCTTCCTCAATATCATGTGGCCCCATGAGATTGCCAACGGGAAGTGGCTGCTGTACCCCATGCGAGTGGAGCTGGAGGGTGGGCGGGGGCCTGGGCAGAAGGGGCTCTGTTCCCCAAGGCCCAACATCCTTCACCTGGTGAGGCTTAGGCAGAGTGGAGTGTTGTATAGGAGGGTGGAGGGGGTTAGATGTTGGGAAGGATGTCTTTGCCCTGGGAGTGGGGGTAGTGTTTGTGTGGGAGGGCCTGGAGGAAGGCGTGGGAGGGAACGTGACCTTGTATCGTTGCATTTAGAGGGACACTCATTGACTGTCCCTCCCCACATCCAGGATGTGGACAGCAGGGACAGGAGGCGGCGAGAGCTGGAACAGCCAGAGCAGCAGGAGCCACGTGAGCAGCCAGAGCCCAGCATGTCCTGGTGGCCAGTGTCCTCTGCTGAGAAGAAGAAAAACATCACCCTAGTGAGTGCAGGATGAGGCTGTGTGGTGACGTGATGGAGGATGCCATGGGGAGCACGGAGCCGCGGGGTGTGGGATTTCGGCACAGGGTGGCTTGTCAAGAGGTGTGATGGTTAGGGCAAGTTGATAAGATAGTTCTTATCACAACCTGTGGGAGGGAGGCATCTGTGAAGCTGCTGGTTCCCAGATCCTCTCACATGCAAGTACTCATTTCAGGGCATTTGATCTAAAGTCAGTTTGTCAGCCGAGCAATCAGTTCTCTCTGTTGTTGTTGTTGTTGTTATGTGCCGTTGAGTCAGACCTGACTCATAGCGACCCCTCCTTGGGTTTCCAAGGCAATATCACTATGGAAGTAGATTGCCCCATCTTCCTTCCAAGGAGTGACTGGTGGGTTTGAACCACCAGCCTTCTGGTTAGCAGTCAAGTGCCTTAGGCACTATGCTACCAGAGCTCCTCAGTTCTCTATACAGTTATATAAAGCATACATTTTATGTTTTACAGGGATAAGATAGTTTTAGCCACCTTTGAGATCTGTGAGTTGTCTTTTTGAGCTCTTTCAGGATAAAGAAAGTCAATTGGTATAAGGAAACTTGCTACATTTTCATAATGTCAAAACCACTTTTAAGTCTCTTGAAGTTCTAATAATTAAAATTACAGTATATATAAGGAACTCTGGTGGCGTAGTGAGTAAAGCATTCTAGATGCTAACTGGAAGGTTGGTGATTCAAACTCACCAACTGCTCCACAGGAGGAAGATGAGGCAATCTATTTCCATAAAGATTTACAGCCTTGGAAACCCAATGGGGGCCGCTATGAGTTGGAATCTACTTGAAAGCAGTGGGTTTGGTTTTATATCGTATATGATTCATTAATTAGGTCTATTCCTTTTGAGTAGCTTTGCCTCCCTTCTTCTGTTTGCCTTGCATAGTTATGTTCTTTAAATGGATTTACTAGGCAAATTAACACATGCTCTGTGCTTCTCCCCTTCTAGGATGGAGCTGTCAGTGAGTGTGGTGTGGGTATACATTAGGCGGGTATTTGACGTGGTTGTGAGGGGGTGAATCACTATTATGGAAGGGTATGCAATTGAGTCAAGGAGTTGAAGAGACTGTCAGGGACTCAGGAATGGAAGCAGCTGGGCCGGTTCTGTCACTGTCTGTCTGGGAGGGAGCTCCATTGCACCTGGTTCCCTTCCTAGGGCCCTCAGCTTTGCTATTCCCTGAGTGCATGGCATGAGGCATAAACTAAGTGTACTCGTTTCCTAGGACTGCTGTAACAGAGCACCACAAACTGGATGGCTTCTAAGAACAGACATTTATTGTCTCATAGTTTGGAGGCTACAAGTCTGAAACCAAGGTGTTGCTGTGTTGATTCTTTCTGAGGCCTCTGAGGGAGAATCTGCCCCACGCCTGTCTCCTAGCTTCTGGGGCTGGCTTACAGTCCTTGTCATTTCTTGACTTTGACATGCATACTCTGTCTTAAGATGACTGTCTTCCATCTGTGTCTCTTCTTCTGTGTCTTTTCTTTTATAAGGGCACTACTCAGATCAGGATTCACCCTACTCCAGTGAACATTAT